ATGGGCTGACATGATCTTTAGAGTTCATCATTTGACCTCACATGTTTGTAAATATTCAGCTTGACTGGCATTAAAAGCAAGGTGTTCCCACCAGCCACAGCAGATTGTACAAGGAATTCTTCGATGTGACTTCCTTGTGCAATGTGACGCTATTACAATTGCAAATGGCTGAAATATTTATTAGAGCTTGTAGAGCATTCCTCCTTATACATCATGTCATGTAGGCATGAATTATTAATACTTTATTTGATGATTTTTAGCCCGTTAACCTCACCAGGAAAATAAACTAGCAAGCAACATTATGCAAATGATCCCTAGCCAGTCATTAGCAGTAAAACATTTGAGTCATGCAACATTTTCAGCTCACACTGTTGTCGTTTCACTGCCTAAACCCAACAGAAATACTGACCCAAAATGGTATATTGCTGGGTTGATATTTGGTGGTTTATCATTTTGAGAGGGAAAGAAGCCCATCTGCATGATGATGAAGACTTTGGCTACATCACTGAACTACCCATTGTGGGATGCTAAAGGCGGGGGGGAGGGTAAGGTTCGCTGAGCATTATATATATTTCTATAGATATGCAGATTCCCAGAGATGAAAAACAATCAGATCCTAACATCTGTCAAAACCATTGTTATTCCTTTTCTGGAACATGACTGCAATTCTTACTGTTTAAAAATAGAGTACTTGCAGTACAAGATGTCATGCATCTCACCAGTGGGAAACAGGATGCTGGTCCTGAGAGGCCTTTTCCTGATGTGGCAGCACTTTGTGTGTGTTCTTATGATGGTCCATGTGAGCTGGGCCTTCTCCTCAGCAGAGGTTTCAAGGAGATGAGAGCTCATCTATGCAGGACGATAGGACATGTTGGGGAGTCAAGGCAAGTCTGTATTTCAGACTGGATGTGATTATTTCTCAGAAACTCACTGGTTCAAAGCCCTGAATGACAACTGTTACAAGCATACACAAATGTGTTAAAAAGTGGGGGGAGGGACACAATTAAGTAACTCTGTGAATAAGGACTACGTGCAATTATAATGATGATGGTATCCATAAGCCAGTGTCAGTTAAAGGAAGAGAGATGAAAGTCCATTTCAGGGAAGCTGGTGTCAAGGGCTTACAGCTGAAAGGTGAGAAGCCTGCTTCAGAAGGCTTAGTATGAGACTTGACAAAAATACGACAGCAAATGGCACAGAAGAACAATTAGCCTACCTAATCTCTGCCATAACAAAAGAACAGAAATTTCAGCCCAGCCTGAAGTAGACTTCATACCTGGGCCCTTTCATGTGTCTCTTTCATCACAAGAACCCTTTACTGCATTTGACATGGCCATATAGTGCTGTGAAATGAGGCACCAGACCATGAAAAGAAATAGCTTTTGCTTTTGACTATACCTGACCCAGTGTAAAAATCACTTAACTTCTCCCTCCCTCCCCATTGCTTTTTTATTTACTCTTTTTAGACTATTTACTCCATGAACAGAAATGTTCATATAACAGGACTTCCCCATTGTCTGTGTTAACTACCTGTGGGCTCATTAATATGAAGACCTCAAGCAACACATGGGGACATAATAATGCTAAATGAACTTAGCTAAATGAACACTCAGAAGGTGGCAGACTCTCCTTCCTTGGAGGTTTTTAAGCAGAGGTTGGACCTGTCATGGATGCTTCAGTTGAGATTCCTGCATTGCAGGGGTTGGAAAGGATGACCCTCAGGGTCTCTTCCAACTCTGCGATTCTATGATTTATTCTATGATTCTTCTATAAAAAGGGGGTGGTTATGCAAATGTGGCAGACACACTTCCATATCTGCACCAGGAATCCCTGCATCACATGCAGTATCACATATTGCAGACCTCCGGATATAGGATATATAAATTCAATAAATAATTAAAAAATAATATATGGTGGGTAGGAGATGTCGGAAATCAAGCCTATATCGGGAGTAACTGGCAACACTCCCAGGCAGCCAGCTTGGTCTCCTGTTGACCTCCCTGGCTGCATTCCCCAGCAAGATCCAGGCTAGGTCTCGATAGGCGATTCTTCTCAGCATGGGAAGAACACACCCCCTCCCTCCTGCACTCCCGGCAGGGAAAAGGAAATAGACAGAAAAGTATTTACATGCTTTTATTCCTGTCTTTGCAGCATTACAGAAAAAATGACTGCTCTCTTCAAGCTCCAGCAGTCGAGTGACAAACACCTCCTGTACTTCCTGTACAAGAGCAAGAGGAAGAGCACATATTACACTCTGAGCTAATTCCAGTGCATTGCCCTGTGAATTGACTGTCCCTCTGTTTCCCACGGAACAGTCCCAACATTCCATCATGTTTTCTTTTCAAGCTAGCAGTTTGCAGCTGCATTGCTTCTATATCGTAACAGGAGAAACCTTTTTCTACTCCTCCAGCTCACCCAAAGAATCATTGGCCTGATAAATGCTCTACTCTGTCCACTGCACAACACACTAGACCTCCCTGAGTTCTCAATCTTATATTATGAACTTTCAGAAGTCATAAATATAGACATGGGCTGAGGAAACTACAGTATTATCAGCACTTATTGAGCACACAAAACAATTAAGATCTGGAAATCTCATATAGTAGCTTCCCAACAGCTTCACTGTCATTGCATTTGTTTCACTCCTGTCATGGTCCAATGACTGAATAACTAAGACATAAAAAATGAAAAAGATGATTAGAACTCATATAAGGAAAGCACCAACTAACAGGAACTGCTTCATTTAAACAAGATTTGCAATGCGTTTTTTGCAGATTAAGTGGACTTTTCACAAGCACCACAAATGGGAAATAGCACCAGCCTATTTGAGAGCTCTGATAAAGTAGACTGAAACTGTTGTAATACTGGATTGCCTCTGAATTTTGAGGGCTACCTATCTGTAACTCTATCGTAGATGATCAAAAGGAAAATTAGATCCATGTGTACCCCAGAGTATTACAGAATGTCAAAGGGAAAATACAATTGAGAACATTTTGGTTTTATTAAAAAGACATAGGCTTAGTCAGTGTAGACATGTTTGTTTGTTTTTTAACCATGGTAAGAATAATCATAGTTTCTTGCCTTAATTCCTGCTAAGGTTGCAGAACTTAGGAGAAACCTTTCTGCTTGCAAGAGGGAAAGCTGATCTTGCTGGTATCTTCCCGCTATTATACAGGTCTTGTGTGGGCATTTCAGGCTACAAGGTGGTTCTGAAAGCTTTTTCCAGCCACTGATTGAATCTGAGTTTAATAAGCACAGTTACCATGATAGAATGTTTCTGTTTTATTTGGTGTAGGTTTTAAAAATAAAATGTTGATGTGTGTTAAAAAATTTTTTTTTTACTTTTTTTTTTATTCTAAATCGCTTTACAACTTTTAAGTAGAAAGGTGACTAATAATTGTACAGATAAAAAAGATGAATAAAATAAAACATTGGCACATATGTGAATTTTATTTATTTCTTTTTAAGTTTAGCAGGTCAGCTTCACATCAATCCATATAAACAAATAGGTTTAGAGAGAAACAGGCAAAAACTGTAGGCAAAAAATGTAACGAATAAACTAAATATATTGCTTTACCTTTATGTCAGGATGGGCACCTTGAAAACAACCTTTGCCATTACCTATTCAAATTAACGTCCAATATTATTTTTCTCAGACTTTCATTTTATCTGGAATTTTGAGAACATAAAGTCCCAGCTATTAAAACACGTTACAATTTTGCAGAAGTTGGATTTTATTCTAGCTAAAGAGGTTCACTTGACACCGAGTTACTCATTGCATTTATCTGATTACTTCGAGATTGTTAGGAGGCAATGCTGTGTGCGGTGATCACCTACAAACATCCCAGCATGCCCCTGTCAGCACTATAAGCCAACATTTTGACCTGCTTCTGACCATGAAATCAAGAGAAGTGCAGTGATCTTGTAAAGCACATTATGCTTCCTCAGTGGTGGGTCAATAACATGTCAGAGTTCCTGCTAGGAATGCCCTGAGATATGTGAGGAGGGAAGCATATGAATGCAGGACACAGCATTCTGGAGCCGGTTTGCCGATTGCCTTATTGACTCTGGAGCAAAAGCATCCAGGTCAAATGAACCACTGATTGAGGCAGTAGCTTTTTTACCCATCTGACAGTACAGCCTCTGCTGTCAGAATGTACTTGATGAGGCACAGGAATCCCAGAGCGGCCAGTGTGACCACTTTTGAGTGTAGTAGATAACCATGGTTAGCATGCTGGAATCACATCCACCGTTCAAACATTTGCTTTCTTTCTGATTAGCACCATCCATTCCAAAAGCTGCCAAGGGCTCATTTTGAAACTGAGCTTCGATGAAGCATGTTGCAGAAACCTGTTGGAGTTGCATAACAAGCCCAACAAGTTGTGCCTGAGAGGCTGAGTGTCTGAGAGATGTGTGTGCTCAAGTCTCATTCTCCCCATCTGTATTTGGAAGTAGCCCTAAGGTTGAGATTACATGGTGCATTATCCACATGAGAATTGCTGTTAATATGCTGAATGTTTGCACCTCCTGTCCTTTTTATGTTATCAGACAGCATGGATTATTGTCTCTTCTCATGGTATGTGATGACTCAACAATAGAAAAACAGCAGCAAGGAGATATTGCCTGCATTCAGACATTACAATATGCTGTTGATTATTGTTATGGGAAGAAGTGGCAGTGAGTCTCAGTATCCTAACACCCCCCCACCATCTGAACATGAGGTCAGTAGCCTTTGCTCCCATGGCTGATTGAGGGCAGCTTCACACTATGTCTGAGCATGGGCAAACTATGGTTAATCTTAACCACAATTTACTGAAACAAGCCTTTTTCAAGCCATAGGTTATAAAGCTGTCTTGTTTCAACAAACAATAGTTAAGATTATGACCACATTTGAAGATTCAGATGTGATGCTAAACTGCCATTCATCAAAAACAGAAGCAAAAGTTTTTGATCTTCTACTTGTGGCCATGCTGGAAAGGGAATGAGGATTGCACAACCTGGCACAGCTCAGTTGGTAGAGCAGGAGACTCTTAATCTCAGGGTCGTGGGTTCAAGCCCCACATGGAACAAAGATTCCTGCATTGCAGCGGTTGAACTAGATGACCTTGTGGTCCCTTCCAGCTCTCTAACTCTCTGGCTCTCTAACCCTCAGGCTCACTGCAGCTTGTTCCTATAAGAATAAACTTTATTCTATAGGTGGGAACCTGCCCCATTCCTGTCTTAATTCCCCCCCCCCCAGACTTTAAAAAGTGTTCCCGCCATCTTTCTATATAGTCTTAGAATAAAAAAGGTTGTTCTCTCCTGCTAGAGTTTATTGTTTCATCTCAATTAGGTTTACCCCGTTTGGATTATCATTTCTCATATCACAGTTTTAAGGGGGGGGGAATTAAGTGATGTCCATGCATGTATGGACTGACCCTAAACTGATACAAGCGGATCTATTCTGGATAAGTCTGATATGGAAGTTTTCAACAGTAAAGATATTACTGGTCTAGAATATGCTGCAATTACATCTATACTTTTCCCAATTCAGAATGAATCACCTAAGACAATTTCATATACACAGATGTTTAACCAGCACTTTTTAACAAGAGCAAGCAAAATATAATGAGGCAACTTCATTAACACGATTATCACCTTATTAATAATTCAGCAGTTGGCAAAAGTTACAATACTGATGGGATTTGAATGTATCATTTTAAATGAGAAAAGAATATTCTCACAATGATCATTAAGGTGACTGCAGTGTAAGTACATATATTTCCATTTTCTTAATGGGTCTAAATAGACCAAATCTGCTAATTTGTCAATGAAGAATATGTTTTTTCTTTTACATTTCCCCATCAATTAGGCCTTCCAAGCTAATTCTGCTGAAAACAACTGTGGCTTCAACATGTCTCCATGTCATATCAACAGTATGGACCAGTTTACACCCTATTTAATTTCTCCACAGTTATGCTTCGGGTCACCAGATTTTGAAATAAAACACCTTAGGACATGGGTAGGGATGGGGAGATGGGAACCTCTGTGTCTGAGGTGGAGCCCAATGACTTTAGGTGAGTCTGGCAGACCAGGGAAAACTCCACTCATTTTAAATATATAGCTTTTACAAAATTGCTATGGGGTTTGGGAAATCTTGTCTCTTCCTTTTCTAGCAGCTAGGCTCTAAAGCAAAAAAAGATTCAGCATTATTTGTCACCCTCTTGGTGGGCCCTTCCAAGACACCTTGCTGCTTGTTAGGGACAAGATGGTGCCTCATTCCATTTCATGTAAAAAAAGCCAACCAGATAGAAAACTGAATCTCACCGAACTAAATCTGCCGTCCATTGCATGTACGGGCACCAGACTCACTTAGGGGGCATGAGACAGATCACATGGCATACACAGCTCCATCTACTCCTAGGGTGTCCACTTATGCATCACCAAAGAAGAAAACAAAATAGGGCACATATTTGCATAAAAATTGCATTGTCTGATTTTTACATATAGACACAAATTTAGTTGCTGTTGTATAATTTAAATAGAAATGTATTAGGAGAAAAGACTGTGACCAAGTGACTTGTGTGTCAGCTTTTGGAAAATGTGAATTTTGGTTCATAAAATATGGTAAATTTTGAGTTCTGAATTCCAGCCAACATCTACCCACCCCACAAAAATCCATTAGGTTCAGATCAACAGAACACTACACCAAAAACATAATGCCATACCAAAAACTGATCATGCACTGAGGTTTGAAAGAATGCACCGAAATAGTTAAGCAATGCAAACAACTCAAGATAGTGCTAACAACAAGCTACATAATGGTCTGATTTCTGAAAAGGCAGGCAAGAAAGGGCATCGGTTTTCCTGGCAGGTATGGAAATTTGATGAAGGGCGGTATGGAAATCTAAAATAGAAATAAATAAATAAATAACTTATATAAGCCTTGTGTTTTAATGATGATGATGATACCAATCAAAATCAGAACAAAAATAAACACTGGATTTAATTTGCAGATTTATAATGGTATTGCTAGCTATTGTGCAGCAGTTTATGCTAGAAATTTAAGAGTTCATTCTCCACACTCCTTCCAAATGGTTGTCAAACAACCTTTTTTCCACCTTCGCCTCATCAAGCAGTTGGTCCCTTACCTTTCCCGCCCCGACCTGGCCACAGTGATCCATGCGACGGTCATCTCCAGGCTTGACTACCATAATTCGCTCTACGCGGGGCTGCCCTTGAAGCTGACCCAGAAACTCCAGAGGGTGCAGAATGCTGCAGCGAGGCTCCTCACGGGGTCTCTGCCATGGGAGCATATTCACCCAGTGCTTTTCAAGCTGCACTGGCTCCCGGTGGAGTACAGGGTCAGATTTAAGGTGCTGCTTTTGACCTTTAAAGCCCTTCACGGCCTAGGACCCTCGTACCTATGGGACCGCCTCTCCCGGTATGCCCCACGGAGAGCCTCAAGGTCTATAAATAGCAACACCCTAGAGGTCTCGGGCCCTAAGGAAGTCAGATTAGCCTCAACCAGAGCCAGGGCCTTTTCAACTCTGGCCCCGGGCTGGTGGAACGCTCTGCCTCATGAGACCAGGGCCCTGCAGGATCTGATTTATTTCTGCAGGGCCTGGAAGACAGAGTTGTTCTGCCTGGCCTTTGGCTTGGAGCCAATTTGATTTCCTCCCTCTGTTTCTTTTTTCTTTTCCTTCTCCTCCTGCGAGGAGGCTACATTTTAATATTTTAATGTTTCAATATTTTAATGTTGTATTTTAATTTTGTTTTTAAGTTGTAATCATTCAACTTGTTTTTATTATTGCTTGTAAGCCACTCTGAGCCCGGCCTTGGCTGGGGAGGGCAGGGTATAAATAAAAAATTATTATTATTACCTGGGGATTAATATGACAGCCAAAAATGGGAACTTATTTAAAGATAATTATGAAAAATGTTGGACGGAAGTGAAAAAAGATTTAGAAATTTGGTCAAATTTGAAGCTTTCACTGTTGGGTCATATTGCTGTGATAAAAATGAATGTATTGCCTAGAATGCTGTTTTTGTTTCAAACATTGCAAATTGTGGACAAGATGGATTGTTTCAAGAAGTGGCAGAGAGATATTTCTAGATTTGTCTGGCAGGGCAAGAAGCCCAGAATAAAATTTAAGATATTAACTGATGCAAAGGAAAGGGGTGGATTTGCCCAGCTTTTTGCTGGTTGAAAGAATGGCTACTTCTTGAAGACACAGACATTTTGGACTTAGAAGGTTTTAACAAGGTATTTGGATGGCATGCATATCTGTGGTATGACAAGGTCAAAGCGCATAAAGCATTTAAAAACCATATTGTCAGGAAAGCATTGTTTAATGTTTGGATAAGATACAAGGATTTATTGGAAAACAAAACCCCAAGGTGGCTGTCACCAATGGAAGCGAAAGCTCTGAAAAGGCTCAAAATGGAGGCCAATTGGCCGAAATATTGGGAAATTTTGGAACAAGATGGAGATAAACTGAAACTGCAGAGTTTTGAGAAACTAAAAAATAAAGTGCGAGACTGGCTTCATTATTATCAGATAATGGAGGCATATAATTTGGACAAGAAAATTGGCTTCCAGGTAGAAAAATCAAAATTAGAAACAGAACTGTTAGAACCCAAAACTAAGATTTTGTCAAAGATGTATAACTTGCTGTTGAAATGGAATACTCAGGATGAAACGGTGAAATCTGCTATGATTAAATGGGCACAAGATTTTGGACATAACATTATGTTTGCTGACTGGGAACAGTTGTGGACCACAGGTATGAAGTTTACGGCATGTAATGCTTTAAGAGAGAATATTATGAAAATGATATACAGGTGGTACATGACCCCAGTCAAGCTTTCAAAAATTTATCATTTGCCCGATAACAAATGTTGGAAATGTAAAGAAACTGAAGGTACATTCTTTCACCTTTGGTGGATGTGCCCAAGGATTAAGGCTTTCTGGGAAATGATATATAATGAACTGAAAAGGTATTGAAATATACCTTCTTGAAGAAACCAGAGGCCTTTCTCCTGGGCATAGTCGGCCAATTGGTGCCAAAGAAGGATAGAACCTTTTTTTATGTATGCCACAACAGCAGCAAGAATACTCATTGCAAAGTATTGGAAGACACAAGATCTACCCACTCTGGAAGAATGGCAGATGAAGCTGATGGACTATATGGAACTGGCAGAAATGACTGGCAGAATCCGAGACCAGGGAGAAAAGTCGGTGGAAGAAGATTGGAAGAAGTTCAAAGATTATCTACAGAAATATTGTAAAATTAATCAATGTTAGAACGATGTTGGATAGAAATTAAGTGGTTTCCAGCTGTGATGCTTTAAGGGATTATGAAAAATGGGTTGTTAATAGGTTAAAATTTAATGTTACTATTTTAAGACTAAAGATTAGGATAAATAAAGAGGGTAAGGATTTGCTGAACCAACAAATTGAACTGGAATACAAAAAAGGGAGGTATGAGGAGGTCCGGGAAACAAGCTAAAGGAAAACAAGCAATGGAAAATCTGTGTGTTTTTAACTATTTTTATTTTGTATTTTTGTTATTTTTTTCATTTTTATTGTAATACTTTAAAAAAGCTTAATAAATATCTTATAAAAATATTATTATTATTGTTGTTGTTATTATTATTATTATTATTATTATTAAACAAGCAAGACACGTTGGTCACATTTAGGGTCAGGTTGCCAAGAAGATTGCTAATATGATCCAGAACCTTCCCTATCTAGTTTACAGGGTCACAACTGTCCAAGGACATACTCCTAGGTAAGTGGTGATAGGACTGCCCTCTAAATCGCAAAAAAACACACAAAGTTTGGTGAGAAAGGGTTAACATGGTTTATTCTTCCATCCTAGAACTCAAGGCGGCAGACATGTCATTCCTACCGTGGAATGGGAATAAATATTTTCTATCAAGCCAACTCCTGTCATTTATCATATCATTCATATTGGCAGTAAATGCTTCAAGACTGCAAATGTTTTGCTGTCTTTTAAGGGGGATTACCTTAAAGGTGAAAGTTTCCTTCTGTTCTCCTGCATCTACAAGCCTGCACAACTTGTCA